TGTTGAGAACCTGACATGTGTTTGGAATAATATCAAGCAGAGAAAACTTAAAAAGAGGCTATTAAAAGGAGCCTAGTCTGATCTTTTTCTTACCTATCTTTCATTCGGATCAGAATTTTGGCAGCTTCTTCTCTCGCCTTTTTCTCCACTAAACTCTGAGAATAGTCCTTTAGATTCTGAACCATAGCATCAATTGTAGTGTGATCTAGCTCAAAACCAGTGACATCATCCAGAAAATTTGTAACAGCTGTTTCTGTCTCCCGTTTGAGAAGTGTCCTAATGGAAGGCCACGTCTCTTTTCCACCGGCTTCGAACAAAGACTCGACAGGTTCGCTCAGTGCTTTACTTAGCCGTTTCTGTAAAACACCATGAAGCAAAGAAAATAATTATACGAGCCCTTAACAGCTAAGAAGTCAGAAGAAGAGAAAACCAAAACAGAACCTCGCAGTTGGCAGTTAATTCAGATAGTTTAGCAGTCTGAGCAGAAGATGCATGAGAATCAATGTCACGACAAAGTTTCTCTCTGATTTTTGATGCATCCCAAGTCGCTTGTTTAACCGCAACATCTAAAGGCATGGACACAATTTATAAACGGCGGTAGTCTCGTGTTAAAGTTATTGTAATATTTGGCCGAAACAATTTGTTTCTCAGAAGGAGACAAGGAGTCTCTACTATTGTCGTAGGAAGACTCACCTTTACATCCTTTGTCAAACACAAGCAGACAAGATTGTCGGGAGTCCCGCACAGCATTTGCAAACCCTTCTCCTTGATTTAGAGACTGTTCCAGTCGGATCTTAAAGGATTCCAAAGCATTGGATCGTAGATGTCCCAACATGCTAGCATAAGCAGAATGCACAAACTGGAAATTTGGAGAATAGTCAAAATTAGAGGCACAATAATCAATCATCATAAGTAACAATGCAAACACAAAGCCGGAGGAATACTTACATCCAAAGCTTTAGATTTCAGCTGTAGACGCTTTTCTTTTCTTACTCCTTCATCAAAGTATATTACCTCTGCGTCGTATCTAAGAACAGGTAATATAAACAAGGTTAGGCAAAATTTCTTTGCTCGGAATTATATACTTGTGGAACCAAAAAAGAGGAGCTTACTCTGAGAAGTATTTTTCAAGGATAGAACTAAGCTTTCTGCCAAAACTAGGAACAAGACCACCTTCTACAGCTTTTTGCAACTCCAACCAACTCTAAAAAAAGTTTACCCCATAATGTCTCACAAAATATCTAAATCAGCAAGAAACAATTATAGTAGGTAAGGAGACCACAGAAGCACACCTCATCGGTTGCCAAGTGTTGTAGCTTCTCATCGGCTATCTCTTCACACCGAACAGTAGCAACCATTACCTTGCAAACGTGAAAGAAAACAACAGTAAGTCACAAGATCAGGAAACATAGTTCAACAACATAGATTTTAGTGAAGAGAAGACCTTGTGAGCAGGAAGGTCCAAGTCTCTATTCTCTTTTATAACTTTCCAAATCTCCTGGGAGCTGAAAGAAAATCCTGAAGCTGGAACTACACCACGTCTATCACCAGCAAGTCCCCCAGGTGAAATAGAATGGAAAAACCTCTGCCTTAGCGCAGCAACCTATATCCAAGTTTGCACGAATCAAGGGAATCGAATCGGTCTTAGGTTTGCTTTGATGCTTAAAAACACATGTGTTTTACATATCAATATATCAGAAGAATACCTCTTTCTTAAACACTTCTTCTTTCTCTTCATAGCTGGATAAGGCAACGACCTCCACCTACAAGCATATATTGAACCAATTATCATATAAGGAAAAGACAGGCAGGTGTAGTCATGAAAAAATTGGTAACAATACAACATTAATCAGATAGAAATTCATCATAAGAAGCATCGTCAGTGCGGTAGGAGTATCTCCTTACATTGAAGAATTCACTTAGAGGTGTATTCTTATGTGCTTCAGGCTTGCGAACTAAATCCCATATCTGCAATAAACCATAATAAGTACCCAAATAAAAGACGAGAAAACAGTAAATAAAAAGAAACTGAAAGAGAGAGAGAGAGAGTGTGTGTGTGTTACCTTCTGAATATCTTCTCTTAGAACAGGTTCAAGCAGCTCTATTGGAGTCTAAGGACAAAAGCATATGTCAATCTAAGAAATATGACTTCACCATCAAGAATCACATTCAATTGCAAAATCCAAACCTTTGTTTTATCACGTATGACAAAAAGAAGAGTTGTTTTCCGAGGGCTAAACAATCGCATCATGACCTACAAAAGCAACAATGACCAATTTATCAAACCTATAGATTGAAGATAAGGTTCCATATGTAAGCACATCATGATACAGTACCTGGAAAACTGTCTTCAGTAATGGTTTGTTGGCAGCCTGTTCCCTTCCGATGTCATGGCACCACCTATGGAGTTCATTAATCCATTAACAATCTAGCAGAAAATGGTATCTACGTATGTCTAAAAATACATCACAATTGTATTCGTAGATCTTTGCTAAGTTCACTCAAATCCAACTTTAACACAGTACTTAATTTTTGGAAAAAATTATCAAATATAAAAGTATCGAGGGGTGGTAAATCTGAAATTACATCTTTGTTCTAATATGGCCGTCAACTTTCTGCTTCCATGTAACAAATACATCAGTAATAGTTTCAGAAGAAGAGCCAACAAAATACAGAGACTCACATGTTTATCAGTACAATATCTGCAACCGCCAGTGCGAACAGGGCACTTTGTTTCTCAAATGTAGTGTCATCCTGAAAAGTGTGGCAACCGTTGACAACAGTAATAGGAAGAAATACATACGAAAATATAAGTCTGCAAGTTAGCCAAAACCATATGCTTTGAATGTGATGCGAATCGTTATTCATCTTACCTCGCCTCTTTCTCTACCATCAGTACCCTCTAAATCCATGGCAAGTGTAAAAGGCTCAATTCCAACACACCTAGCCATCCAAATACCTTTGGTTGTTTGACTCCTACAAATTACCAAGTCAAACACATTTCAACACCAAAAAAATGGCATTGCCACAAAAAGATATAAAACAAAAATTGATTATTGACAATCGCTGACCTTCCCGCAAAAGCATCCATTTCCCTAAAACTGGTATTAAAAAGATGATTCAAAAGTGTACTCTTCCCTGTTTATCACCAAAAAATACAAAAAAACACATACCACAATAAGCAAATCAAAGGCTTAGACTTTGCAACATATCTCAACCTTAAGTCAAAATTTGTATCTTGAAATTCTTGATTAGAGTTAGCCAAGAGCCACAAACTCCAATCCCAAACTCAAAAAGAAGAAGAAAAAAACAAAATCAGTGAAAATCACATACCACTACTCTGAGGACCCATGATTGCAACAACAGCATAAGAAAGTCCACAATTAGAGAGCTTCGTCTTCTTCACGAAATTCTCCAAACCCTCCACGTTGAATTCACCATCCCCATTGATTAGCTGAGTCGAACAACAATCCTCGCTTTGCCCCATGTCTATTTTACGGAATCGCCGCTACTAGCAGATAAGAGACGGATCTACAAATCCCCAAACGTCACAAAAAAAATTCAAAATTCGGAAAAGAAATCATCTCCTCAGAATGATGTTGCAAGCATACATGCATCAGCAAAGTAGAAACTAGTTGGGATTTCTTTTTGTTTCCTTACCGAATTAGGTAAAGTGTAAACGCGATTTTTGTTTGGGTGCCTTCACTGTTGCAGCCGAAGATTGATAAGCAGAGATTGAGAGAGAGAGAAGAAGAAGGAGGAAGAAGGAAGAAGAAATACAACCGCCTAAATTGCAGCGAGAAATATACGAAGCTTGTTTTCCGAGTTTCTGTCTCTTTGATTTTCTTAAAAGAAGATTAAATTATATTTTATCTCGATGGAATATTTTATTTATTTTGGCTGCTCCTAGAAGATATGTTTATTTTGATTTTTTGATTGTTTATCAAACATATGTGTAGGTCGAGACTTTATTATCATCAATTTTATGAAAACGGCAAAAAAATGAAATTTGGAACGAGATCTTTCCGGAAATACAATGCGAATAAAATGAAATAGGTTCATTTTTGTTTTCGGTTTGGAAATTTTTGTAAATTCGTTTTCTCCAATTTTTTTTTTTAAATTATTAACATAGCAATGCATGTTATTAAAAAAATAAAAAAATTCGCAACTAAATTATGAAAAACTCTAATTTATTTTAAGAAAGTAATAGAAAAACTCTAATTTACATCAATAATGACATGGTGTTCCAAAAGAAAACAAAAACATACAAAATACCAATTAAAAACCTCCAAAGAAGTAGGGATAATACAAACTAGAATAAGAACTAATCGAAAACAGAGATAAATCTAAGACAGATGGGGTAGAAACTAACCTAGTATCAAGGCACTTTCAAACAGTTCAACCAGATTACTAAACATTTGATTGTAAATTATCAAGGCACTTTCTCACTTTTCAAATCAACTTGTAGAGAAGCCTTTGGTTAAAAAAAAAAAACTTGTAGAGAAAATTTCCAGATTCTTATCATGGGGAGGCATTTTCATCATCCAGAAAGCAAAATTTTACATGTTTTTTTTTTTGTAAGAAAGTAACATACATGCATATATATTGAGTAGCATCATCCTAATTTCTACTCTTATCTAGAAAAGTGATAGAATGAATGATCTTTATCTCTTACATATACAACAAGCCCAATTACAAAGCCCAGTTATGAAGCCTAATAAAGAATGAGAACTTCAAACCCAGAGTTACGAGATTCGTTTATTCAGACACGTTTATCTTCATTTGCCGTCTCTTGAACCCTTTCCCTAAACCTCTTACCTCTCAGACTGTAAAATCTAACGTCGGTCGTCGATTCCCTCCGCCGGTAAGTTTTTCCGTCATTACTCCGGCGAGTAATTCATCCTCTGCTTCTTCCTTATGTTTCTTCGTGGAAATAAGGCTAATTGTATTACTTCATGGATTTCAGATAACCGACAGCTGAATTTCCAAGTTAAAGAGTGATGGGACTCGATCAAAACGATCTAGAGTATGTCTCTTCGTCGACTTTTTTGTTAATTCTTCATCGAATTCGGCTTTTATTTGAATTATTAAGTCACTTTCCCAGTTCTGATTTTTCTATTGTTCGTTCAAAAACGATGAATGTGCTTTCTTCGTTTTTCTCCATTGTATATTCAATTCAATTTTACTCTTCGTATTGAAACAGAATGACGAACGATGAGCATTTCGTTGACAAGCAAAAGCTTACAGCTCCTATAAAGTCTACAGCAGATAAATTCCAGCTCGTTCCCGAGTTCTTGAAGGTACTACACAGAACAAAAATCTTCATCTGTGCTTTACACGAATAGCCAAAAACTATGCATTTGTTTTTTTATTACTTTCCAAGTATTTATGCAATCTCCCTGGCAAAGGTAATTCATGATTGGCTGTGTGATTGTCTCTCTTTGTAGGTGAGAGGACTTGTGAAGCAACACCTGGATTCATTCAATTACTTCGTCAATGTTGGGATTAGAAAGATCATTCGTGCAAATTCTCGTATACAATCCACTCTCGACCCAAAGATTTACCTAAGGTCATTCCTTCTTTATCACTTTTCTAATCTCAGTCTGGATGTTTGAATGGTTTGGTGGGCTCTGTATGATTTCTGCTGTTTGAGAAACTAACTTCTCGGAGACAAGTTTTGGTGCAGGTTTTTGGATATCAGAATTGGTGAACCCTCGGTTTTAACCGTTAGTGGGGCGGATAAAATCAATCCACACATGTGCCGATTAGGAGACACGACGTAAAGACTTCTTCTATTTGCATTCCATCATGTTTCTATAGCTTTCCGTTTCTGCTCTTCTGCCTTTGGCTGTTTTAATTGCGTTATATAACATCTTGTTTTAAATATCAGATATGCTGCTCCAATATATGTTAATATAGAGTATGCTCATGGAAGTAATGGACAAGTATCACACAGTTTCAAGGTAAATGAAAACAATTAAAATGTATTATACATAATGCTGCTTATCGATAAAATTCAGGCTGAATTTGGTGTTCTTTTATTTCAGAAGGACGTAATTATCGGAAGGATGCCTATTATGCTGCGGAGTTGCCTCTGTGTATTACATGGAAAAGATGAAGAGGAACTTGCAAGATTAGGTTTGTATTGTACCCTTGATTTCAACTTTTCAAGCATTCCTTCTTCTTGTCCATCACAATTGTTGTATTCCATTTTGGACTCTAGGTGAGTGCCCACTTGATCCTGGAGGATATTTTGTCATCAAAGGAACTGAGAAGGTAATCTTCGTATAGCTGTCTTACTGAGTCTATAGATTAGCTAGTATGTGGCACTTTGACTTTGGCATATATGCTGTGTATTATTCAATTTCTTTAGTTCAGACTCGATTGTGAGCTAATTTTAACCGTTAGTCTCCGTTCTTGTTCTAACTGGCGCGTTACAGTTTCTATTTTTATTCCTGTCAATAAAGTTATCCCATTATTCATGGAGTCCTTTCTTTTTTACGTGACCTGAACCCATGCTAATGCATGTGTGGTGTTTGCTTTTCATTTCAGGTGTTATTGATACAAGAACAACTTTCAAAGAACAGAATTATCATCGATTCTGATAAAAAAGGGAAGTAAGTGATCTCTTACATTATTTCAGCCCTTGTAGTGTTGATGGCAAGCATCCTCATAAATAATATTAATTGTCAAGCCAAATCATTGTATCATGCTTCAGTACTGTCTTCCCACCCACTATGCACATACCAATTTCACTGTTTGCTGATTCTCTTACTGCTTATTGTCAGCGTAAATGCATCTGTCACAAGCAGCACTGAAATGACGAAAAGCAAAACAGTTATTCAGATGGAGAAGGAGAAGATATATTTATTTCTTCATCAGTTTGTAAAAAAGGTGTAGATACATTATCACACTCTTCTCTTTAATTGTAGCTCTTTCAGATTTGGATTGTGTTGGCTGAGCATCTGATTTTGTCATAGATTCCAATTATAATTGTCCTAAAAGCTATGGGAATGGAGAGCGACCAAGAGATCGTTCAAATGGTTGGAAGGGATCCCCGTTTTAGCGCATCACTGTTACCTTCTATCGAGGCAAGTATCATAGCCACCTTCGTTTTACCTGGTGTCTAGTTTATGGTTTCTTGTAGCGATGTTGGTGTTTGAGTGAGGCTTTCAAGTTGATATGACACTGGATTTATAAGCAGCTGATTAGTTCTGTGGATGTAAATGTTCATTATAGGAATTTTTGAATCTGTTTCATTTGCTAAAGTATACTAGGAAGCAGCAATTCTTGCGTGGTTGATTGTTTCGTCCTCGCAATCTCTTATGCTTATTTAATTTCAGGAGTGTATTAGTGAAGGTGTGCATACACGACAACAAGCACTGGACTATCTCGAGGCAAAGGTGCTGTGTTTATTTATCTTATAGAGTTATTTAAAAGTTTTTTTCCAATGATTCTAGAGGACAGATATTGTGTACTTCAAAAATTATCTAGAAAACATATTACTGTTCCGCTGGTAATATGCTCTACCTATCGTTAATAAGATAGCTCATCTCTCTCTCTCTCTCTCTGCTTAAAGGAAATTCGTCATAGATATATGGTGGTATAGACAGTTGCTTCATTTTGTGATGTAACGAGAGCAAGTCTTCCATTTATTTCCATGCTGTTGCAGTTTTCCATTGAATCATAAACACACTGAGAAAAGAGTAGACTATAAGGTTATGTTAGTATAGCAATTGATTCTGATTTTTGTCTGCGGCAATAAATATGTGACGTATTCTTTTATTTGTTAATTTCTACAGGCGAAAAAACAATCATACACTACTCCATCTGAAAAGGTTTTTATTCTTTACTCAACTATTACACTCTAATTCAACTCTTTACAGATGGATAATATGTTTTTTGCCCTGCAAATTTGAATATGAATGTTTTCTTGCTGAGTGAAAATTTTGCATTGTATATTTACATTGTTTACTAGGACGGAAGAGCTCTATACATTCTCAGAGAGTTATTCCTTGCACACGTGCCTGTAAGTATCTCAAGTTCTTTTGGTTCTTAAAATTTTAGTCTTTACTTACTGCTATATTCTTCCACTTAAGGTACGTGACAACAATTTTCGTCAAAAATGTTTCTATGTCGGGGTGATGTTGAGACGAATGATTGAAGCAATGTTAAACAAAGATGCCATGGATGACAAGGTAATACCATAACCCTTCTATCAGGAAACGTTTTATCGTACATGTGAAGTATATTGGAAGTCAGGTTATTTACTTTTAGGATTACTGCTGTATGTTAGATTACCCAAAACTAGTAATTGAAAAACAGGGATGGGCATGCTAAATTGGCTTACATATTGTCTTGGCCGTCCCTTAGCAGAGCCATTAAAATTTGAGAGTTCACCTGATGATGATGGCTACCTGGCTAGTCTATGACCTGAGATAAAATATAGCCCGAGGGTTCATATTGCTTATATGCTCTCAAATGTGTACTTATTTTGTAGGATTATGTTGGTAACAAGAGATTGGAGTTATCTGGGCAACTAATATCTCTTCTCTTTGAGGTATCGCTGGAACATATCACCAGATGCATTACTTTCTCTTCCTTTATCTTATAAGGTTCTGTTTAGTCCTTACCTATAATTTGCCTCCCTCTCGCTGCTACAGGATTTGTTCAAAACGATGATCACTGAAGCCGTTAAAAAAGTGGATATGATTCTTCAAAAAACTAGCCGCTCAAGCCGATTTGATTTCTCACAAGTAAGTGTAGAAATATTTTGCCCTGCTAGTTCAAGTCTTGCTGTCAATTTTGTTTAACCATAAAAACATGTGGCCTTAGACACCTCCTATCATTTAGATTTGTAAATGGTCTTCAGTCAAAATAGCCTCAAGTATTCATGTTTTCGATTTTATTCTGTGTTCATCATGTAGCTATTAATCGGTCTTCTTTCAAGGTTCTTGAAGTAACTAAAAAGTATTGGTGATTGCAATAAGCTCATTATTAGTTGTTAGCTAGGTGTTATTAAGCCGATTGGCAATTGCTTTATGAACTTACATCTCCCTTGGATATTCCACTGAAACTTGAATTCCCACAATTAAAATGTTTATTGTTCTCTATAGCTTTTGGCCTCGAAATAACATGGATTGAGTCGATTTTCAAAAATAGTTACTGTGGTGAAAGGAACTGATAGCACAACTCCAATTTTCTTTTCTGATCTGCTTGTAGTCTCTTGCTGGAGACAAGCATCATAGTATTACTTATGGATTAGAAAGAACCCTTTCAACGGGAAATTTCGATATTAAAAGGTTCAAAATGCATAGGAAAGGCATGACACAGGTCAGTGACTCTCTCTATATACATCTGTATGTATGTCTCTAGCCTCCTTCAAGCTACAGTACTCTGAAAGAAATTGTTTCATACAGGTCTTAACAAGGTTATCTTTTATTGGGAGTATGGGGTTTATTACGAAAATTTCGCCACAGTTTGAAAAGTCCAGGAAAGTAAGTGGGCCTAGATCTTTGCAACCTAGCCAGGTAATAATGCTGTCTTTATCAACCTGATAAAATTTTGTACAAAATACTATTCCTTCTGCTTGAACCTCCATTAAATCTGATTTTGGACATTGTGGTTTGCTCTCTAAGTGGGGTATGCTCTGCCCATGCGATACCCCAGAAGGCGAAGCTTGTGGGCTTGTCAAGAACTTGGCTTTAATGACTCATGTCACAACAGATGAAGAGGAAGGCCCATTGGTTGCTATGGTATGGGTTTGCTAGTTTGCTAATTTTTACGACGTTTATCTGTCTTTGCTATGGCTTTGAGAAGGATACCTCCGGAACAACAATACCCTTCGAACTATCTTCGGCTACTCTTCTAAATTTTAGATTTATTTTTATCAACTAGGTACTGAATCTGTGTGTTTTAAATGATTGTTCGGAAACAGTGCTACAAATTGGGTGTCACAGATCTGGAAGTATTATCCGCAGAGGAGCTGCATAGTCCAGACTCATTTTTGGTCGTATTCAATGGGCTAATACTTGGCAAACATAGAAGGCCACAGGTAATTTAAAAAACGACACGGGTCTGCAACAAACGCAATACACATCTTTGCATCTATTCACTGGTTTCTATTGTTTCAGTACTTCGCCAATTCACTTAGAAGGCTACGTAGAGCTGGGAAAATTGGCGAGTTCGTTAGTGTGTTCATAAACGAAAAGCAGGTAATGCCTTGATCAGTTTTTTTGGGGTGGTCATCTAAGTTTTTCCATGTGCACCGTATAGCTTGTGTTCATTCGTCCACCAAGCATAACTCAGTTTATTAATTCGGCTGTGTTCTTGTCTATGTACTATCAAAGCTTTATATTTGGTAATATGTATTGGTATAGCTTGGAGTGAAGATTAAGATTACTGAATTAAAAATAGACCGAAGAACCTACAGAAATGAGAAATCTATTTTGAAAAGTCTTCAGTAGCCTCCTCTGAGTGGTTTTCGGAGTAGAAATACAGCTTAGGATCTTATTTGAAAAATACGTTAAAGGCTGAAGAAAACGATTATTTTTAAACATCTGCCAAGTTTTCTTTTGAATTCAATAATGTTAACTGGGACTGACTCTGAAGAGAAAATGTTTATCAGCATTGTGTTTACGTTGCTTCTGATGGTGGGCGGGTGTGTCGACCACTTGTTATAGCAGATAAAGGAGTATCAAGAGTTAAACAGCACCACATGAAGGAATTACAGGTACTGGTGCTGTACGGTCCCAGATTCATGCATACTTGTCTTATTGGTATAGGTTAAAGAAATTGGTTGACTGATTTGCATTTCCTTGAAGGATGGGGTTCGCACTTTTGATGACTTTATTCGTGATGGCTTGATCGAGTATCTTGATGTCAATGAGGAAAATAATGCATTGGTTCGTGCCAGTCTCCTTATTTTCTGTATGTATAATATTTAATTGCACCATAGGGAGCCGAAAATGATATACTGCTCTTTTTCCTTGTTTTAAGATTGCTTTATACGAAAGAGACGTTGCTATGGAAATGGCAGAAGCAGCAAAAACGATAGAAGATGCAGAAGCAGTAGAAAAAAAAGCAGCAAAAGCAGTAGAAGCGGCAAAAGCAGCAGAAGCGGCAGAGGCAACAAAAACGGTAAAAGCTGCAGAAGCAGTAATAGAAAAAGCAGCAGAAGCAGCAGAGGCGGCAAAAGTAGCAGACGCCGTAAAAGCAGCAGAAGCGGCAAAAGCAGCAGAAGCAGATAAAATAATGGCAGAGACAACCCACATTGAGATTGAACCTTTCACCATCTTAGGTGTTGTTGCTGGTCTTATCCCCTACCCTCACCATAATCAGTCACCTAGAAATACTTATCAGGTTTGTGTTTCTAGACAATCTGACATAGATGCTGCAATATCTGTTGGTTTGCATCTCCTTATTAGTCCTGTAACATTCTGTGCAGTGTGCTATGGGAAAACAAGCTATGGGAAATATTGCTTACAACCAGGCAAGTCCATTTATGCTCTCCATATTATTTCATTGACGCAAAGCCTACTGCTTTCTAGTTTCGGTGACTTAACTGGATCAATTGTTAGTTATGTGAAGTCTATTTACTTTAACGCATCTATCTCCTCCCATTGCATCGTGTTCTAAACTTCTAGTATATCTTGCTCTCTCTCAGACACTTGCTTTGCTTTTCAAAATCTTTCTCAGACACTTACTTTGCTTTTCAAAATCTTTGTGTTTAGTTAAACCGGATGGACACATTGCTTTACCTATTGGTGTATCCTCAGCGACCCCTTTTGACAACAAGGACAATTGAATTGGTAAGTCTTTTTATTCTAATATGGATGTGTTGATAATATGGTACTAACAAAATTATGCTTGTTAACAGGTTGGATACGACAAACTTGGAGCAGGTCAAAATGCTACAGTTGCTGTGATGAGTAATACTGGATACGACATTGAGGATGCAATAGTGATGAACAAATCTTCCTTGGATCGTGGTTTTGGCCGCTGCATCGTTATGAAAAAGTATGTAATGATTTTTCTTTGTGGCAAAAGTCGCTATCGTCTCTTACATTAGCAATTAATATTATTGCTTCACGTTTTGTTATTTTGTGAAACAGACTTGTTGCTACGTGCCAAAAGTATGTGAATGATACAGTAGACAGAATACTCAGGCCACAAAGAACAGGCCCAGATGCAGAAAAGATGCAGGTAGTACATTTTGTCTGCAAGTGTCCTCGTTTTTGCCATCTTTGGGAATTGGTGTTGTTGCAAATGCTAATTCTCTCCGGATTATTTAGATGCTGTGGAAACAGTCCTAGGTAATCCATCGTGTACATAATACATTTTTGGCCTTCCCCATTTCTTATTGGAGGGAGCAAGCACAATATGGTTGCGTATTTGAAATTGAATTTTCTCATGACTGTCTGTTTCTTTCTCAAAGTAGACACTTCATTAACAAAATCTGATTCTACGTAAAATTGATGACATAGATGGCTAAATCTAACAGCTTCTCTTAACTCTCCTATTCTGTACTTGAAGATAGGAATCTTATTGCGCTTAGCCATATGACTAGTGAGAGTGATTTAGGCATTTTCCTTTCCTTTGCTTTATTCCCTTGTTTTATAATTAATTTCTTGTTTACTTGGTTGTGCCATTTGCTAAAGTATGTTGAATAAGTTTTCATGTTGACCTTTTTTCTCTTTCAGGTACTGGATGATGATGGAATTGCTTCTCCAGGGGAAATTATTAGACCGAATGATGTCTATATAAATAAACAGATCCCTGTGGACACAAGAGAAAACATTAAAGGCCCCCTATCTGATAGGTATTCCACTAACGTTTCTCATATAAATGATCATAGCTGTTTCTTAAAACTGTAATCAAAGCTGTACAATCCGTTTGCAATTTTCAGTCAGTATCGTCCGGCCAGAGAGTATTTCAAAGGTCCTGAAGGGGAAACACAAGTGGTCGACAGAGTTGCTATCTGTACTGATAGGAACGGTCACTTATGCATCAAATATATTATCCGACATACTCGTCGACCAGAGGTGAGAAATTTTGTCTTCAATACTGTTATGTTTTTACCCCTAAGTCTCATGTTCTACAGTGTTAACTGTGTCTTGGTCTGGCCATTTTTTAGCTTGGCGACAAGTTCAGCAGTAGGCATGGGCAGAAAGGTGTATGTGGTACAATCGTTCAGCAGGAAGATTTTCCATTTTCCGAGCTTGGAATTTGCCCTGATTTGATCATGAATCCTCATGGTTTTCCAAGGTTATTAACTATTCTACATAAGATTTCTTTCTATCGTTCTGTGCTCGTTAGATGCCTTTTTATAGTGTAGAGCAAAAAAAAAGCTTCCTTCATTTTGTGTTCGAGTGTGTGGGTTTATAAGGAGATTCTTGTGGAGTTTTTGCTTCATGGTTATCCTCACATTGCCCTAACTACAAGAAAATAACAAGTAACAATGGTTCTTCCTGATTAGGAAAAATTAGTTGACTCTGTATTGGTACCTTGACTTGAAGCGACATTTGTGTTTATCCCTTTGGTCCAAAATCTTGGGGTTTCATCTGAAATTCTTGATTACTTGACATTTTGTATTAAAACTGACGAATGTATTAACATTTTCTTCTCACAGTCGTATGACAGTAGGTAAGATGATAGAACTCCTTGGAAGTAAGGCTGGAGTTAATTGTGGTAGATTTCACTATGGTAGTGCTTTTGGAGAAAGAAGTGGTCATGCTGACAAAGTTGAGACTATAAGGTACCTTTTCTCTCTGTCTCTCCGTCTCTCTCTCTCTCTCTCTCTTAGATATAAGGTTTCTTCTTCCATATCTAAACTTTTGTTTTGGGGTTTAACGTCGTCGGATGTTCTATCATTTCAGCGCCACCCTTGTGCAGAAGGGGTTTTCCTACAGTGGGAAGGACGTGTTATACTCAGGTATTGCTTCATGATTCTTCACAGATTTAAGAATTTGCAAATTATATGTTGAAATGCATTCTTGTGTCTGTCTGTTGTTAGATTCTTCGCATACAAAGTCGTTTAGGATCACTAAAATTGGACCAAGACACTATCATTTAAAATTTATAGGATTCGGTCATACTCGTTCGTATTCCAAAATTATTTAGTGTTTGTGTTTTCTTTCTTTGTACATCAACCTGATGACCTTGAGAGTCTGGCAGGTCTCAGTGGCGAGCCATTACAAGCATACATCTTTATGGGGCCAATATATTACCAGAAACTGAAACACATGGTAAGGTTTCTCTTTACATATTTTGAACCATTTTTGCTGTTTCGTAATCACCTTTTTTTTGTGTATACAATAACTGTTTCTGTACTTATTTTGAATAGGTCCTGGACAAAATGCATGCGCGAGGGAGTGGACCTCGTGTCATGATGACAAGACAGCCTACTGAAGGGAAATCTAAAAATGGAGGTATGTGCCTCTTAACTCCTATATCTTCTTCACTCTGAATGGAAACGGTATTATGTAGGAAATTAAACTGTCGTTTTAGTAATTTGGGTAATTTATGTATACTTTCTAATTCTTTGCTTGGTGTGAGTTTTCCTTTTCCTTCTAGGTTTTTATATAGAGGCCCGTAATAGACATCTTGTAATTACTAATCAAAGTCGAGAGTTTCTCTTTTCTGGTGGATTCTAGAGTTAGTCAGGTTCCGAACTTGATTTGGTATTCTTTGTGATTTACGACTATAGAGTGTTTTATTGTGTCTCTAATACTGTTTACAGGTTTACGAGTGGGAGAAATGGAACGAGATTGTCTGATTGCATACGGAGCCAGCAATTTGATCTATGAGCGACTCATGGTTTCTAGTGATCCTTTTGAAGTTCAGGTAATAAACCAAATCCTAATGCACTTTTTGTTTTATGTCTGAAACGGTTTCATCAAATATGGAATACACTAATGTAACATGTTAATGCAGGTTTGCAGAGCTTGCGGTTTATTGGGATATTACAACTACAAGCAGAAGAAGGCAGTTTGTTCAACTTGTAAAGATGGCAGTAACATTGCTACTATGAAACTCCCATACGCATGCAAGCTCCTCTTCCAGGTATAAACGTTTGATCCACTCTTTTTTTCGTCTTCTTTTTCTTTTTCTGGTAACTCTCTACTTAGTCCCCTTTTTGGTCTCAGTTAGTTCCTCTTGTGTAGCTTTCCTCTTTGCTTGTTTTGGTTGTTTCTTTAACTTTTCTTTCTGCGCAATACATGATATGGTTGCAGGAACTCCAGTCGATGAATGTTGTTCCTCGTCTCAAACTGGAAGAGGCTTCTTGATCTCAAGGAAATCTTGTCAAACTCTGATATCTGTTTTAACTTATATCATATTTATTTAGTACGAGCTCAATTGCATTTTGGTTTTATTACTTGTGTAAACATCTTGCAATTTTTGTAATTCTCCATTTTTTGGAAGTTAAGGTTATATATGATTTATGCTTTACTAAAATCTTTCCGGCTCGTCCCTCGGGGGACATCCGATAAAATATTGGAACTATACAGAAAATCTTTTCGGGTCACGACATTCGTATAGCAAGTATTTAATAAGCATTTGCAAATGTTATGTAAATCATCGTTTAAAATGTGGACGTGTGGATAAGCCATGCATCATACGGATTTGGTGGCACGAAATAAAGAAGCAAATACACTTGCGCACACTTAAGTTATGATATGTAATTACAGAGATCCAAGTGAATCTTTTCCAAATACAAATCTTGAAATTATCATGATATACACTTTTGTAGTCAATGCAAGCAAAGTTTAGCAACAACGTCAAGAGAAGAAGAAGCAAACACAAAGTCTCGATGTTTTCTACTATGTGACTAAACCAAAAAAGAGAGGCCTCTCTCTTAAGGTAGGAAACTAAGCACAACACGAGGATGAACTCACAGCCGTAGCCCCTGCCCCTGGAAGAACCATTCCCGTAGGGTTCTCTGCTGGCTGTACGCGTGGTAGCCTTTTCGCTGTAGCGATTACAACATATATAAGAGAGTGATAAGGAATCTAGTCGTAAGCAGAAAAAAAAACGTTATTGAAATTGATTTCTTGTAAATGTAAAGAATGACTCACCGATTTCGTAGAATATGTCTTTGACATTTGTTGCAGTCTTTGCTGAGGTTTCCATGAAGAAAAGGCTGTTCTCTTGAGCATATATCTCCGCTTCCTGCAAATGAGATGAGACAAATCGTTTGATTATCAGGAACTAACACACAAGATTCAGAAATGAAAAGCATCAGTCGACAATATAGAAAATAATCAGAAAAGAGCTGAACAGAGTAGGAAGAATTGCTTTACCTCTGCAGTAACTTTCCTTGCATCTAATAAATCAGCTTTGTTTCCAGCAAGAGCCATCACCATATTAGGGTTACCTATTCACATGACAACATCAAAACAAGACTACATAGTCAAATCCCCATTATAGGCAAACTATATATCATAAACTAGCTATTATATATATTATCAAACCAATAGTCAGCGATTCCTTACCTTGTGCCTGCAGTTCCTGAACCCATTTCTTCGCCCTCTCAAATGACGCCTGTGACAATAGAAAGAAAAAGTTAAGCAAACCTAAACTCCACAGCTGATCAGCAAATTAGTAAGCACATTCTTGACTAAAGCAACGGGACTGAGAATTTCGTACTGGATTTGTAATGTCAAAGACAATAATTGCAGCAGCTGCACCCCTGTAGTACATTGGAGCCAAGCTGTGGTATCGTTCCTGACCAGCTGTGTCCCATATCTCAAACTTCACAGTTGCATCATTCACAGCCAATGTTTGAGAGAAGAAAGCTGCACCTATGGTTGATTCCTGTTAACACAACAAGCATAACAAAAGAAAAAAATCAGCCTCAGAAATGCGAACCAAAATCTTTAGAAAAGTCACTAGAGGAGAATTTCACAAACCTGGAATTCAACAAACTGATCTTTGACGAACCGAAGAACAAGACTTGATTTTCCAGCTCCAACATCCCCAAGCAATACCTGAACGACTTAACCAAGTTACGCACCGAAAGGAAACAGAAAAGTCTTCTGCAGCAGATGCTCACAGAGAGACCTTACTTAACGATGACCAAATTTAGAGATTCAACCAAAGTAGCGATCATCAATTCGACCTAGACAATACAGGGATCATTAATTTCAGAATAGATTATCAATTCACCATAGGTTTCATCATACGAATTAGCTGATTCATTAGAACCCTAACACAAAGACTAGTACCAGATCGGATGTCAACTCCTACTCCAAACCCTAAAACATGCAGTTTCGTAAACTATGAAATCGGAATAAAGAGCAGCATCAAGGACAAGAAATTCGGTCGAAATTTCCCCAAAATTGGATATGGAACGACATCGGAAATAGACGATCCAAACAAAATTCTCCGAGATTCACGATCATCATCCAAAGGATAAACACAAAAGCCCAGAAGAATCGACCTAATAAATAAAAAAAGTAGAAGCTAACCAATTTAGCGTTGATGGTCTTATTTCCAGCGCTGGCCATGATTGTTGTTGATCTGAAAGAGTATTGAAGCTCGAGAATTTTCTGCTCGAAATATAAAAGAAAACGGAGATGAGAAACGCGTTGACGATCGAGAGACAGAAAAGTTCCAAAGACGAGAAAGAGAGAATCGAAGAAGAAGCTTCGTCAACAAACAACCAAATCTCTCTTTCTCTCTCCCGAGGACGAAAAGCAGAGAGATATCAAAGAACAAATATTATACGGCTCGTGAATACGACACGAGACTTGTGAGAGAAAAAAAGTGAAAAACACCCCCAAAAAAATTCTAAATTACGAAATACCACCCGTATATATCTTAATTACTATTAAAACCCCAATTACAAATAGAGGTTCTTTGAGAAATAAAAAATAAATTGAGGTTCAAGCCGTGAACTTTCTTACAAACTGTAGATTCTTCTTCAGAAGCTGTCTTGAGTTCATAAAGTCGTGTCGGACGGTGAAGATGAAACTATTTTACATGTTATCAAATCTAATGTTAAGAGATTATATATACAATCAAATGCATTGAGCTTCTTTATAGTCGAATAAATATCGTTCTCTATATAATCAAATGCAATGAGCTTATTTGTCTTTAACTAAAAAAAAAAAAAAATGAGCTTATTTGTAAATAAGAACACTAATCATTGTTCCCAAAAAAAGAACCCTAATCATTAATCCACAAGGACACAACTAGTTTAAACTCCAAAACATAAATCAAAACAAAATTCCCAACAAATACAAAGAGACACATATCGAAACAACTTAAACAAGAAACAATACAAAAACCACACGCAACAAACAAAAAAAAAACTCTCGAAAATCAACTCAATAGATTGATTTGTTTTTTGATGAGCCTTGGTAAGTCGATGTGAAACAGATTCTAAGACACACAGTCCGTAGGTTGAAAACCTATTCTCTCTTTCTCCAAATCATAGACAACCTTTACATTCTGGTGCTGAAAGCTCCCAAAATCTCCGGCCGGGCCGTAATCTGCATCTTCCATGTCCCGAAACAACAAGCCTTTCGCGAGCCATCGCTAGAAATTAATGTGAACTACACTTTCAATTTTACACGTAATCTAAAATTAATATCACATGAAAGAGTACATATACAGCTTAGTTTAGAAATGCGGTCCATTAGAAGTTTATGATATGATATATCACATGAATTGAGTACATATACATCTTCTAATTTTACAATGCACCAGAAAATGTGTACTTAGTTGTATGTTATTTAATGTCAAAAAAACAAGTTGTATATTATTTTGCATGTCGTCCAATTAAAATGTATTCTTATGGAGCTTCACACGTTATCACCACCATATATTGTCTTCTTTGGAAACGTACTAATGTACATACACAAAATACAAAATAAACACATTACCATATTCTCACTTTTTGTAGTATTTTTGGTTAATTGTCATTACAACTAGTATTTGATTTATGATCCAGTATTGAAGTCTACATTCTACGTTAAATTTAGTTTCTTCTGCTCAGTTGAAAACTTACAATGATCAATACTCCTAAATTGGAAGCTACTTAAGTAAATGATTTGAACATGTAAATTAGTGTCGTTAGCTGCTGTATATATATGAGTTGTGACCATAAGAAAAAAAGTTTATAGAATTAACGTCTTAATTTTCTTTTGGGATACTTCTTAGTTGTAGAACAAAAAACTAAACTCTTAATTAGCTATGTAACCATTACTCTTTAGAATTTAGTTTTGGCGGGGTCTATGCAATGTGTATTTTAGTGGCAGAATCATGACTAGTATAATATAATGGTACTGCAAAAAGTGGAACGATGAAAGACAAATATTTTTTGGGTTAGGGAATTCACAGGATATTAATAGATTGTCAGATTAGTCTAAAGTGTATGCTATATTATAATTTTGAGTTTGTTTTTTTTAATATATATATATATATATATATATATATATATATATTATTTGTTTTTTCTTACGTAAGAACAAGGAGGAAAAAAATTTCCAGCTAATTCAGTTACTCTCTAATTGGGCTAAGAGTTTAGGTCAAGTGTCACCTATCCAATTAGGCTAGGTTGATAAGTCTATTTAATGAAAACGATTACCAAACATCTATATGAATAATGTTATGGACTAACTTAATTGGGTTGAAGATTGTATGTCTTTGTTTTATAGTATATTCTAGCATTACCTGAATTTGTGATGGTTTGGATTTGTAATACTATGGAATTCTAGAATGGTAAAGTTAAAATATTTGACTTGTATATATGCGGAATAACGCATCAACAGAAATAACTGAATTAAACAAAAAATTGTAAAATAATTACAGCATAGAGCTGAAGATATATTAGTTAACGAGGTTGCAAATTGTGCACTTCAATTGCACAAAGCCATTGTTGGGAATATTCTACTTAGATATATGAACATAGCGATAACAACAAGCAATTAGTGGTCTAATTCTTGGCCCAATTGATTTGAATATAAACATGCAAAATTGATTCATAACTTTTTTTCTTAATTTAGTTGGTTTAAGCATTTCATCAAATATTTTTTTGGGTATAAAGATTAACATAAGAAAAATAATCCTATGTGACCAGCGCAGTCAGTGGTGATGAACAGCATCAATATTGGAAACCTCACCATATATACTTTTATCACTAGATTGATTTTTCCGCACAACTAATTATTTTTTGATAAAGTTGATAATATTAATTAATTTAAAAGATGAATAGTCGGGTTTACAATTTAGTTTTATTTGAATTTTTTGTTCTTAAATTTTATAGGTTTAGTTATAAAAAAATGAAGAATTTATTTTTGTGTAGTTTTGTTTTGAATTTACCAGTTTATAAATTTCTATCGTTATGTAGTTTTAAAATAGTATTGTACATCATAATTCTCTGTTTTAAAGCTTTTTTGAATTGAAAATAATCAAAATGTACTTGCAATATTGGAGAGATTCTTTTCTAAATTACTGACAAAAGCATAGTACAAAAAAACATGAACATAAACACCACAAGAGTCGGTGAATATCAAAGTTGTATGTCAATACATCCAAACTCTCGGTATAATCTGATGTCTCTAGTGTATTTGTTAATTGGCTACACGATTTGAGAGATTGTAATATGAAACAAAAAATTATTAAAATTTGATCCAACATGTTTGAGTGTATTAAAAAAAAAAATTGCTTAAGATTATTTAAGTTTTGAAATATTAACATAAGAGTTTGAGTTATCTTCTCTTTCTATATAATCCTCAAGATCACAAAGTAACCTCATCATCTTCACCTTCTTCTTGTTATTTTCAAAAACGTAAAAAATAGAACAAATGATCGGTCGATTAGATATCAAAGACGAATATTTTATCTATCTAAAGGAAGTAACAAACACAATTGAAACTTATTCTTCTTGTTTTTCATATTCACAGAACAACCAAATAGAATCTGAAAATCTGCCTCCCTTTTATACTGCATCGAATCTTCTTTTTAAAAATAGAAAAATGATTAGATGACATTTATCAGAAATTAATTAGCTAAAGCCACTATTAAATCTCATAATCCAAAACCATGTCTCGTTGATGTTAATTTTGCTTGTCGTCTTACTTTATGACAAAAAACAATAGCCAACTATCATGTACTTTTGTTTCTGGTGGTCTTACATCTAGCCTAAAACGACAGCCAAACCAAGCCACTATAAAACTTAACGACCAAAAAAAATAAAAAATTGAAAAACTAATGATCCAACGCGGGTTTGATGTATCTTTAATTGAATCTAAAAGTCATTTTACCTCCACTATGATAGAAAATCAAACGGAAGATTCTTCATAGTTGTAAATTCAACTTCCAGTTCCTATATATTGACAACCACGAAGCAAATGTGAACTACACTTTCAACACCAAGATACTGAAATGAACCAACACAAATAACACATGAATCAAAATTCAAAGAAAACATAAAAAACATAAGAAATGAAAACACCACAAAAATCCACAATCTTGTTCGATGGATGAAGTCGTTTTACTTGCGAGTCACAACCCATAAGTCGATTCTCCCACCCTCCCACTTAATCTTTAGCCAACGTTTTTAAAAGTTGTAGAAACCTTAGGCCCTCTTTAGTCAATTATACCATTTCAAAACTTGGGGAGCAAATAAAAAAACAAGCGAAGAGTACAAGGATCTCATTGTAATTTATATTCCTGGGTCACTTGAAAAGCCCTAACAAAGAGGTTTTCAAATTGGCAGAGATTTTGAGCGACGAAACCTTAAGAATCAAGTACAAATGGAGGATTCAATCGCTTAATAGTCCTTAATTCCCGGTAAATTTCAATTCTTTTGATGAGTTGTTAAAGAAAGAAACGATTTTGACCGAATCTTGCATAGCTCTGATTTTCTCCCCTGTGTTTTACGGTTGGTGTTTGATTCCCTCTCGTTGCCTTAGTCTCAGGGCTCCAAAGATGCTTTTCAGATTCCTGAACAAAGCGGAAAAGATTGCTCAATTCAATATCTTTGTTGCTTTCTCCTCCATTGCTCAGCAAAACCAGGTTTCAAGGTCCAAACTTTCTACTGTATACAGTACACTGAGATGTTTTCAGAGTAGTAGATTCGTCTGTGGGGATAAATCTTCTTCGAGAGAACATTGGTCTCAATCACCCACACGGGTTTTCGGGAACCGGGTCTCGAGAGCTATGAAGAACGAAGCTCAAAAGGCTCTCTTTGATTACCTGCATAATACAAGAACGCTTAGCTTTGGTGACGCAGAGCATATAAGTAAGAATTCCCCACGTTTTATCATCTCTTTGTTGTCCAAGATTGATACTTGGAATCGGAAGGAGGAGATATCTCACTCGTTGACTAAGTTTCTAAGGTACAATCCCATCAACGAGTTCGAACCATTTTACGAGAGTTTGGGTTTGTGTCCACCTGAGATCTCTAGCTTTCTTCAACGGGACAAGGTGCTTTTGAGTGATGACAGTCTCATGTTTGAGAATTTCCATGTTCTTTGCTATTATGGGATCCCTCGTAGCAAGATTGGCCGTGTGTATAAAGAAGCAAGAGAGGTTTTCGGATACGAGAATGGGGTTATGGCATCGAAACTTGAAGCTTATGAGAGTTTAGGTGTTACAAAGCCTGTGGTCATTAAGCTTGTAACTTGTTGCCCGTCGCTTCTTGTTGGTGGTATTGATAGTGAGTTTGTTGCTGTGGTTGATAAGTTGAAGGATTTGAACTTAGGATGTGATTGGCTTGGGAGGAATTTGTCAGATAGAAAAACATATAACTGGGGACGGATTCTTGAGACGATGGAGCTTCTTGAAGAGGTGGGATGTAAAGAGGAGAAGTTATGTAGTGTTTTGAGAACATATCCAGATTTGGTGGGTGAAACTTCTGGGAATGAAGCTTGTGTTATGTTTGATAAGCTGCGTAAAGTGGGATTTGAGATGAATGAGATCGACAGATTAGTGGTAGACCATCCGGAGATGTTATTAGAAAAATCTTTACAAAGAGTCTTGGAGGTTTTGAAGTTCTTTATACGTATCAGAATGGATAAGCAGTTTATCGTTGGGTTTGTAAAGGGTTACATGAAGCTGATCTGTTCATCATCCCCTCTGCTAGGATCTAAAGCTGTTTTGAATAGATTGAAAATCGGAAGAGAAGAGTTGTGTAGGATCATAAAAGAAGAGCCTTTGAGATTGTTCAGTTTAGCTTCTAAAAGAAAAGCTAGAGGTGTTAAGCTTGACTCATTGGATTTGAGGAACGCAGAGAAGACGGCGTTCTTGTTGAGGCTAGGGTATGTAGAGAACTCCGATGAGATGGTGATTGCTCAGAAGAAGTTCCAAGGGAGAGGAGATGAGCTACAAGAGAGATTTGATTGCCTTGTGAAAGCTGGTTTGGACTATAATGTGGTTACCAAGGTTGTTAAGCGAGCTCCTCATATACTCAGCCGTCCTAAAGATGTCATAGAGAAGAAGATCAGTCTACTAACAGATTATTTGGGTTACCCAATTGAATCTCTTGTTGAGTCCCCAACATATTTGTGTTATAGTGTGGAGAGAATACATAAGAGGTTCTCAATGTATATTTGGTTGAGGGAAAGAAGTGAGGCAGTGACGCTGAGGCTGACACTAGGCACTATTGTGGGTGTTTCTAATCCCCGGTTTGTGGCATACTTTGTCATTACCCACCCTGAAGGTCCAGCTACTTGGGAAAGGATAAAGAATGCATCTACCTGATGTGAACTTTTACTGGTCATTTCATCAGTATAGTGATGTAAATCCCAACAAATGGAACAAGGAAGGAGTTGGGGAAAGCGGAAAGTGGAAAGAACAGAGATTCTCCATGAGTATAAGCTAATGTTGATGCACTACAGAACTCAATGAAGTGATTCTTGGACTGTACTGAAAAGCTCAGCAAATGTTGATACCATCTCTTCTATTACTTCCCAAAGGAAAGAAAGGCACACCGGACAAGCTTTGAGATATTATAATGCAACTTGAAATGGTTTCTTTGTTGGTGGAGGCAAATTATTTGATCAGGATTAAGGAGATCAGCTAATATCTATTAACTGGGACATGCCTGTTGTGACAGCTCTTGTCCAGAATGCATTATTACATGCTGTTTGTAACAATGGATTTTGTCCTTTGATCTTGGCCACTATGTAAAGATAGCTGTGACAAAATATCATATTTCTCATTTGTGATCGGATTTCTTGTATGTTTTGGTTTCATGTAGCTGAGAATCTCTTGTTAGATTCTGAAGATATGACCAATACACTGAAAACAAAAGGTTGCATATACTGTAGTTAGAATGTTTTGGGTCAGTAAGCATTTCTAATGTTACTGTTGTACAACTAACTATCCGTCCCTCTTTATTTAAACTGAACCTAAAGCATCTGTATAGATCTAAGCACCCGAAATGACAAAACCTTTTCAACAAAGATCTCTAATTACATTTAACTTATAGTACAGTTTCATGATGTGTTCTTCAGGCCATCTCTTAAAGACGAAGAAGATGAAGGAGAGGATGAAGCAGAAAGACAAGACCCCGCAATCTTAGACTCTTTGTCTTTGCTATAGGCCTTTTGCACATCATCCTTAAGCTCTCTATACCTCATTCTCTTCAATCTTCTCTGCTGTGGAGATCCTTTCTCAATATGCAAATCATCGAGAATGTCTTCGTCTATGTACTCTTCCATGTACTTATCTAGAACCTCCGAGCCATATGGAAAATACCTTCGACCGGTCTCAACTGCATTGTGAAAACGTTTAGTGAAGTGAAGTCAGTCAAGAGAAAAAAAAAACAGCAGAAGAAGAAGAGTTCTCTCACAAAGAGGAAATCTTTTATGTTACCTGTTTTCATTAGAGCCTCCATACGAGTAAGAAGTCTTTTGGTTTGCATATGAGGAGTTTCGTTTAAATCAACCTGGCTCAAGTTTCCGGTTAACCCATTTGAAGGCGGTGGAAGACCCGTGAACTCGCTTGTACCTTCTACATTAGCAATGTCCATAGCCACATTAGCTTCTGTTGGAAAGAACAACTGAGCAAGCCCCACTGCAAAACAAAAGAGCTTGATGCTTCAACAAAAAATGTCTTAAGATAACAGAAGATTATATGCCAAATTGCCAATCATGAGTCAAATTTACCTCTCTTCTCTAGGTACATCAGTCTCATTTGAAGATCTTCAGGCATAGAAAGAGAACACGTTGGTGTATCTGCAACCATCGGATTCCTCCTGATTTCTCTTTCCAAGAGATCTATGCACAACCGAGCTTTACTAGCTTTACTAGCCTCCCTTCCTTTCGCTGTTTTCGTATGATAATCCTTTGGAGTTGTCAATCTTCTACATATGTTAACCGCACTGCGTCCATCACAGGTGAAATCAGACACCTTGGCACCTTCTTTGAGTAGCCAAATGATGATTGATGGCTCTTTACGCATCGCAGCGAAGTGAAGAACGGTGTAACCCCTGGAGTTTCTATGATTCACATCACCCATATCAAGAGCAAGAATCTCAGAAACAACTTTGGGATCACTGTACATCACGGAGTAATGCAGACCATTGGCTTGATCAAGAGTGATATCTGACTCAGTCAAAAGAAGCTTCACAAGCTCAACGTCATCCGAATCCAACGCCTTGAGGATTTTCCCTGTTCTCTCAAGCATTTTATCTGAGCCCTTGGGGTTGTCTTCTTCTTCATCTTGTGGAGACTTGAGACGAATCTGTTTAATCTTCTCAGATACTTCAAAAGGAACCTCCTTTTGGATACATAGCCTGTGGAGATCTGACCTCGCCACTCTCTCTATGCATTGATCAAGCAGCTGAGTCAACTTACAGTTGAAAGCAACCAAAAGAATCGGAAGAACATTCTCAACCAGAGACTTCTCCACAAAGTTACAAAGCCTTCGCTGCAAACACACAAAACATAACAGTAGAAAACCATTAACCTCTCATTGAATCAAGAAAACAAAGAGATTCTTTTTTAGTTTTTGCAGACCTGAAAAGATGAAACTAGCTCTGGCACTTGGAGAACAGATGAAGCATACATCAATCCAACAACGAAATCAATTGCAGGTCGACAAGAATCATGAGCACAAACTGAATCAACGCAAGTCGAAACATCCAAAGGGAACGGCTTTAATCTCCCAGTGTAGATATAACTCAAGAAATACAAGAAAGCTTCATACCCAACAGCTCCATAAGGCAACATCTCTTTCAAATGGTACTTTGGTATCTCAAGTTTCGAACTTTTCTTCTCCTTCTTGAACAGTTCCTGGAAAAACTTGCTTCTTGCAGCTAAAATGCATCTATGAACACCAACAGGAACGCCATCGACAATGATCTCTGCATCGGTGTAATCACAATCTGGATTGATGAGAAGCTGCTCGAGATTGGAGCTGAGTTTGCTCAGACTAACAACTTCGAGATTAGAAGCTGAGCTTGATGATGAGAAAGTATTGAAACCAATAGAGCCATTAGAGAAATGAGAAGATGTGAAACTTAGAGACGATGAAGGCTCAGTTAAAGTAGCCATTTTTGTTTTCCTTTACAGAAATTATCACTCAAAAGCTCTGTTTTTGATCCATGGAAATCAAGATTTCAAAGTCTCAAGATCGATTTCAGATTCCAAAAGTCCAGACTTTACATTTCAAAAAGGGAACCAATCAAGCCCTAATCAAACCCAGAACACAAATGGGAACAAAAGAAAAACTTGGGATTTTGAGGTATGAATCATACAGACAAAATCGAAGAAAAGTTGCAATTTTTCCGACAGAACATCACTCTTGCACCTCCGAATCAATGTACCAATCTAAAGTCAAAAGGAAAGGGACACTTTTCTAGAAAGATTCAAACAAAATTATAGGAGAAAACGCTAAAAAGGTTCAGATAAACGAAGCAAAAGAAGAATGGAGAATCAAAAGCAGGGATTTGAGATCTGCACAACAGTAAAATGAAGTTGAAGGATAAGATCAAAGACAAGGCAAATGGATGGAGGAAAGAACCAAATTGGGGACCTGTCAGTTATAAAAAAGGAAGAGAGAATTGAAGGAAAAGTCAAGAAGGAAGAGATATTTAAAGGATTATATGATCGAGTTTGAGAACAAAGAGGACATAATGAGGTGAAGTGATGGTGAAAGAAAGAGACAGCTTCAATGTGAAGATGAGAAGAACCAAAAAAGGAAAGAAAGAAGATTATTAATAATAATAATTAATGACTTAGGCATAGCTTAAAAACATGGTCGCCGAAGAAATATAAAAGAAAGACTCAAATGAAAGTTGACAAACAGAAAACAAAGACCGGGAAAATCCGTGTATGATGCGAAAGGATCCGTGTATGACGCCATATACCAACATGATCACATTTTAGAGTCTCTTTTTTCCATCACTCTTCATATGAAACTCCAAATATATTTAAAATTTATAATATATATATTTTTAGATATTGTGGGTTTTATGTATTTTGATTTCCCTTGTTGTTTTAGTTTATCAGTACTTGAAGTATTTAAAAAAAAACTTTTAAATAGATGCATAGTTTCAACTTTCTATATAATAATAATGCGGTCACAAGAAATAGCCAAAGTCAAGAAAATAAATATTTTCTGAAAAAGAGCCATCGTCACTAGTGATGACGGAGCTGATGTAAGCAAATGCGAACGGCATATGATGTGGGTGGTGTGAGCCTGTGATGTCATGACGTGGTTTATCACGTTAGTTTCGAAAAAAGTAGATAAATCGTAAAATTATATAGTGATGATAGCTAGTGGTCCCGACTTTATTAATTTTATGATATTGTGATGACCAAATGTCATTTATTTTATTATTTTCTGGATTAAGAAGAAACAATATAACGATTTTAAAAGAAAACAAAGTTCAAACTAATTTCTGAATCCATAGTTTATTGGAATTCAAATTGGTTACCACTTACAATACTTACAGGTGATCAATCGTATATGATACAAATTTAGGATAACAACTGAAGTCATGTCCCTTAGATTATATGAAAACAATACTCATAATTAAGAAAAAAATATATTCTTTGAGTTAAGATATCTTAAAATAGGTAAACATTTTTTTCTTTTTCTTTTTTCGGCTTTCCTTTTAGATGAATGTTTGAAAATGTTCATGCATATTTTAAGATAGTTTATAGTATCACACCGAGTTTCACTCTACTAATTTTGAAAATTTGTGTTCTGTTTACTTTTCAAATGATATCAAATAATCAAAAGAATAAAACACTACTAAAAATGTACAAAATTTAAATTATTTTTAACAGATAAAGTATTTAAAATATTTTAACTACCTAAGCCTTTGTTTGAATAAAAAAAACTTAACTACCTAAAACATTTAATTTGTTACATTTCCATGCAAATATGGTAAAGTTTTGCTTAGTTTGATAGAAGAACTGAAAAATAGTAAAATACAATGGATCGGTGGTGCAGCGGTGTCGGTGATGCTTCTTCTGAGAAGCTACGCGGACTTGTATATTACAAAGTAAAGTATGAAAGTGTTCTTCTATAAATTAAAAAAAAATATATCGAATCATTTGGATATAAATGGACTTAAGAAATCTAAAAATACATATGAGTTTTGGGTGTTGATATTCGTTCATTAAACAATGATTTGGAGTTGGTTGGTTCTCTCTAATACAATTTTGTAAATGGTGTAAGAATACATAGTTTCTTTTGCCAGAGAATCTCCATAATTAAAATAAACCTAAAACACCGACAGAGTTTTAACAATTTGGTAAAAGTAAACCGAGGCCACTTACGTACCAACAACAACGAATAACACTCAATCTAGTAGATACAGATGTAACTAACTAAAGAGGCTTCTCTACCTTTATTTTGGACCTCTCTTTTGATCTGAGATCACCTTTTGAATACAAATGAGGGAAAGTGGTGCTTTGATAGAACTCTTTTTTTTTTAATTAGTAAGAGGTTCTAGGCCGAAGCCTCCCGTATATCCCAGAACCACAGCACTGTCCCAAGCCGCACTTTGATAAAATTTACGATTGTGTTCCTACCAAATTTTATGTAGCTTACCATCTAGTTAATTAAATGTTTTCGATTTGTAGTCTCTCGAAGTAGAAATAAACCTCAGGTGAATGAACGTGTTTTCAAACTGTTGAAAGTGTATATAATAGTAATTTTGTCGAATGTGTTTTCAAACTGTCAAAAGTGGAAACAGTTGTAGTTTTGCAGCGAGTGCAAAACCATACTTTGTCGGAGTAAAACAACTTCACTCTTCAAAGCAAAATAACATCACTCAACTGGTAGATGCCAACTACATATGTATCGGAAAAATATTTTATTGATAGTCCAACTGACAAAAACTATAACTACATGGATTGAAATGTTTAATAATTGGTGATTTTCGCGTAAAGTTATTTTGGGCCTGCGTCAACAGAGTATATGGCTGGTCTCGAGGTGTTTTACAGTAGTATGGGCTTGTTAGGCTTCTATTAATTCAAGCCATATATTCCACTGTTCCCAAATTGAGGACACCATTTTGTTTTTAACACCTACGAAAACTATTTAACAAAAAAACTCTTAAGAAAATTATAGCCTCATGAACCACATAATATATTTTGTATTGAGATAAAGGATTTGACCATATGGCCAAATCAACTCCATCGCGTTTGATCGGCCTAACAACTCTGACATAACCGGTTAGGTTTCAGAGATCACAGATAATCAGGATTTGATCTTAAAAGAATCACATCTTGTGTTTAGTTATAAACTTAATAAATTATTTTAAAGTATGGTGTTATTGGTTTTGATATGATGATTTGTAAGAATACACTCAATGCGTAATGTATTTTTTTTGACAATTTTAAAGAATTTCTCTTTTTAGACTTTTAGAAGAAAAAAAAAATCATTGTTCAGTTCCAACGGGAGGAGTGAGGGTTTCACTTTGGTGTCGTAGTCCTAAGAGAATTCTCGACATTCGTTTCTCGACCTAAGCCATCCTTGTGCTTCTTTCAAATGCAAGTTTTTTTTTTTTTGAACAACTCAAATGCAAGTTTAAAAACTATAACTTGTAGATTAATAGAAACTTTATTTAAATCATGTAATTAATTAAGTTGACTTATTAACAATCGGAAGCATGAATGAAGCTATATTCTTTGTTCGGCGTGAGCCTGGCCAAAAATTCCATGGAATGAAGTGATAAGGAATATATCATCCTACATATGTTAATTAATGTATTACACTTTTTATTATTGTTAATTTTTCTCTCTTCATCCATTAGAAAATCATACTATACGTCTTATAACTTTTTATATAAGTAATGTTTAACTATTGACAATAAATAGACTTATCCACTCATTCCATTGCATCGCATTGAACAATTCAACTCATAAAAATTTGAAATTCATATTAATATACCATTTCTATCTATATTGCAAAACTGACTCGTGTATCATGCGTTTTTCCTCTCCCTAGATATAAAACGAATGATAAATCATCACATAAAAGCACCCAGACATTATATAATCATCCTATGTATATGTGCATCATAAAAGACACACATTACAAACATTTTATTTCACTACAAACCAACACTTCAAAAAATGGCTACGACCACACAACACATGATGAATTTAATCTTCCTCGTTACACTTCTTTTAATCTCCTTCGCAGTCTCTCCGGCGATCTCAACGGTTCCGAAAGAATGTGAAACGGAGTCAACGGACTCTTGCGTCGACAAAACCAAAGCCTTACCCCTCAAAATCATAGCTATCGTGGCTATCCTCGTGACAAGCATGATCGGAGTCGCGGCTCCTCTCTTCAGCCGATATGTCCCGTTCCTGAGTCCAGACGGTAAAATCTTCATGATCGTCAAGTGTTTTGCATCCGGGATCATCCTAGGAACTGGTTTCATGCATGTTTTGCCAGATTCTTTCGAGATGTTGTCCTCACCATGTCTTGAGGACGATCCGTGGCACAAGTTTCCCTTCACGGGCTTTGTCGCTATGTTGTCTGGTCTAGTAACACTCGCTATCGATTCCATTGCGACAAGTCTCTATACAAGGAAAGCTGTCTCTGACGATGGCGAAGATAAGACTACTCCGATGATAATTCAAATAGATCATTTGCCTATAACAACTAAAGAAAGTAGCTGTACACGCTCCAAACAACTATTGCGGTATCGAGTTATCGCCATGGTTAGTTATTCATTACAAGCTTATTTAGCTCTTGTTACCTGGAAAGTACTATAAATCATGATCTATGTATTGAATGATTATGTCCTTATGTGTGGAATTTTAGGTATTGGAGCTTGGGATAATAGTTCACTCAGTGGTCATTGGACTATCGCTTGGTGCAACAAATGACACATGCACCATTAAAGGACTTATTGCTGCTCTTTGTTTCCATCAAATGTTCGAAGGCATGGGTCTCGGGGGTTGCATCCTCCAGGTACATTTTTTTCTTTTTATTATAATCAAGATCCATTTTAATCTCTGGTCCGAAACAAAGTCTAACAAAAAAAACCGTAAAAGCCTAAAACAGTAATCGCTATTAGCACCTTAATTATTTTTGTTAATCTCAAAATAAAACCATAGGACAAACATATAGAGTCGAGGATATAAAAGTGAAAATTTGTGTGAATAGGGGTTACTTTTTTAGAAATATATGTTTCACTTGTAAAAATTTGTAATTGACAAAAAAAAAGTATTATTTTATACTAATTTTCTTGAATTCTATATTATATATGGCACTTATAACCATATGATGAAAGAAACATGCAAATAATATTTTGAGAAACATTATTAACTTTTTTAGTATTAATAACTTTTTAAAACGTTCTCAACAAACTTGTTTTGACAGGCAGAGTACACAAATGTCAAGAAATTCGTGATGGCTTTCTTCTTTGCGGTTACAACACCGTTTGGGATCGCTCTTGGTATAGCCTTGTCGAGCGTTTACAGTGACAGCAGTCCAACGGCATTAATTACCGTCGGGCTTCTCAATGCTTGCTCCGCAGGTTTGCTCATTTACATGGCCCTCGTAGATCTTCTGGCCGCCGAGTTTATGGGATCAATGCTCCAAGGAAGCGTCAAGCTTCAGATTTACTGCTTTGGTGCGGCGTTGCTTGGTTGCGGCGGAATGTCAGTCCTCGCCAAGTGGGCGTAAAGTCTTTAACATCGTATTTATAATTTCCTTGGAACTGTAATTATAGTTCAGTGAGTGTAAATAATATATTTTTCTTTTATCATTAAAAATTGTGATTTTCAAGCGATTGTGCTTTTCTTTTTTTGTGATACTTCCTTCTATTGTGTTGTGCGTTTTTAAGGACTATATATCTATATATAAATAACATTTTATAGCATTTTTTTGGGTAGGCTGTTACATCATTATATTATTAGCGATATTTGATCTAATCTAATTATAAATGATGATCAGTGAATCGATCAAATTCAACTACTTGCAAGTTGCAAGTATGCAACACATGTGATTATGCATGTGGAATAGTTCCACAAACAGTGATTCCACGATGTACAACTCTTCCTTCCCTTAAAAGTCACATCACAATGGTTCTACTTGCTCTACACCCACAATGGGAACCGCTCCCTGCAACATGAAACTAAGCTTTGCTAGCATTAACATTTCCCTCTAAAAACATTTATTTTTAAAAAAAACTAAGCCCATATTTCTCTACTGTAAATGTGAAAACCGTCATGTAAAGCTTAGAGCATGTGCAGCAGAGAGACTATGAGAGTTTCTTTAGCCAAAAGAAAATAAAAAATAAAAATATTTATCTACGAGGCGAGTCCCAAGGCGAGAGACGTCTCTCTGGGGAGAGATTCCAGAACTGTTTCTCTGACACGTCTCTCCACGTGTTAGCACGTGATTGGGTTTCGAATTTTTTTTTTTTTAATTTTTTTGAAAATCATTAAAAAAACAAAAAAAAACAAAAATTTAAAGAAACCCTCATAGTCTCTCCTGCACATGCTCTTAACACTATATTTTTGGATACTCAGAATCGACTCTTAAAGTACTTTTGCTTTTGAGGATGGTAAGATAAATTGTACTGAACCGAAATAAAATTATACAAAAGTGAATTTGTACTTTTGTAGTCTATATCCACCTAGCATGCATCAATGCTATTTTGAAAGAATATTTTCCCCAAGAAAGTCATGTGAATAATGCTGTTAAAGTACGATTTTATCTTGTAAATTTAGGGTAATTGAGTCAGTGACTTTGAATTGGTTTAAGGAGCTCAATGCGCCTCTAACAGTCAAAAGACCCTCTTGTCGCTCCACCACATATAGGAAGGCTATAAAACAATAAATTGTGATATTTTATGTTGGAACATTCGTGTGCTATAGCCTATATGTATCGAATCAAATTATGAAAGAGGTAAAATATGTATATGATTTTTGGTTGAATAGATGCAAATTAACATTATGGTTGATTATATTATATGTAATAAAAAGAAGAAGAAGATATGTTATCCTTCCGGAAGGTTGAAATTAGTTTGAGCCAAGTTCTCCTTGATTTTTACTTTTTAACCAATTTATTCAGAAGAAGCCATCTTTATCAAGTAAAAGGTTATTGTTGCCTGTGATCTTGACAAATATTTTCCTATGTTAAATTTATTTCTTTAACATTCCTGATAATTGCAATACCTTCTAAAGTAATATTTTTTTCTTAACATATACAGCATAAACCTGTAAAAAATTCGTTAAATTATGTAGATATAATGTCAACAAAATAGACCTATATTATACTATTTTTCAAAAAAAAATCCCCAATACATAATTCTTCTATGTATGTATATGTGTTTGTGTGTATGTGTCCGTAGTCCGTACGCGTTAAGCGACTTGTGAAAAGGCAAGTTCCGTACAACTCCATATAACGTACGTGAGCAAGAATACTGCAATCTCACCAAATCCCAGCACAAACTAATTATTTGGCCTCCGTGTTATTCTTTTCCGTACTAAGATAAAATATATTCAACGTCAGCAAAATTCCAGCATGGGAATAGCCCGTCCAAATTTTTCCTATATAAGCATAAGTCATAACAATCCTAAATAGAACATACAAGAATACAAAACACATTGCAACAAAACAAAAATAAAGAGAAGTGTCAAAAAAACTAATGATAATGGCGGCTTCGGTTAAAACACTCATGAAGCTCTTCTTCTTTGCCCTAATCTTTGTCAGCTTCACCATATCTCCGGTGATGTCAACGGCGCCAGAAGAATGTGAAGCTGAGTCAACAAATCCATGTGTCAACAAGGCAAAGGCCTTACCTCTAAAGATTATATCCATTGTAGCCATCCTCCTGACTAGCATGATAGGCGTCTCGGCTCCTCTCTTCAGTCGATATGTTCCCTTCCTCCATCCGGACGGAAACATTTTCACAATCGTTAAGGCTTTCGCGTCCGGGATCATCCTGGGAACAAGTTTTATGCACGTTTTACCAGATTCTTTCGAGATGTTATCATCGGAATGTCTAGAGGACGATCCATGGCACAAGTTCCCATTCACCGGATTTGTTGCTATGTTATCGGGTCTTGTCACTCTAGCAATCGACTCAATGGCTACTAGCTTCTACAGCAAGAACGGCAGTGAGATCGTGCCCGCTGCTAGTAACGGTGATCAGGAGAGAGCAAATCCTATGATAACTCATGGTCATAGTCATGGTCATGGTGTTACATTAACTACAAAAGATGATGGTGGCTCACAGTTATTGCGGTACCGTGTTATTGCTATGGTTAGTTCACCGCATAACCGTACCATTTTAAAATCATAGAACTAATTATAACAACTTTAGTTGACCATTTCATAGGTTTTGGAGCTTGGAATTATAGTTCATTCCGTGGTCATTGGACTATCTCTAGGTGCAACCAACGACACATGCACCATTAAAGGTCTCATTGCAGCTCTTTGTTTTCATCAAATGTTTGAAGGCATGGGTCTCGGCGGCTGCATCCTCCAGGTAAACTCGAATCTATATCTTAATTTATTGAGGTGTAGTTTTGATTAAATACAAAACAATATACATATTTCTATATAAAAGAAACTAAAAAAAAAAAAAAAAAAAAAACCAACTTGATATAAAGGTTTTGATACTTATATTCATTATGATTTTTTAGTTTTTAGTTTTACTAACGAAATATTGTATATTTTGATAGGCGGAGTATACAAATGTGAAAAAGTTCGTTATGGCATTCTTTTTCGCGGTTACAACACCGTTTGGAATCGTTTTAGGGATAGCATTGTCGAGCATATACAGGGACAATAGCCCTACCGCATTAATTACTGTCGGACTGCTCAATGCATGCTCAGCAGGACTGCTCATCTACATGGCTCTTGTCGACCTTTTAGCAGCCGAGTTCATGGGCCCAAAGCTTCAAGGTAGCATCAAGCTTCAGATCAAGTGTTTCTTTGCCGCACTACTTGGCTGCGGTGGAATGTCAATCCTTGCCAAATGGGCTTAAACTCTTTAATAGTATATTTCCAATTTCTGTGAAACTGTTAGTATATTTCAATGAGTGTTACTCATTTTGTGTATCAAAAGATAAACAAATGTGATTTTCATCCGACTGTCCTTTGCTTTTTGTATATCTATTGTTATGTGAGTTCTTTAATTAAAGCTATACTCTGTCTATTTATTTTATTTTCTCAACGTCTATTCCGTTCAGATATGCAAATTGTAATACTAATCCATATGCAAATGTAAAATGTCGAACCGTACAATAATTAACACTAGTATTTGATATTCTAAACCAAATCTTCAACTATTTATTTCCAAACCTTTTTTTCAGAAGTGGTCCGATAATTTGTGATGGAAATAATTTGTAATGAATTCATGGTCTATCAACCTATATACTTAATTCTTTCCATCAAAGAAATGAATAATTCAAATATAATATAAAAAATCAGGTCAATAACGATATATTTTACACAAATATTAATGTTTTAGGGAAAAAAAATCATTTTTCATGACCCGTTGAGTTACTGACTTTAAATTGTTTTAGATAGACCACACTTGGCAACAAAGAGTCACTGACCACGAGCTCAATGGCTCTTAAGTCTCTGGCTCTAATAAACTCCATTGATATATTTTTTTTTTTGATAAAGCTCCATAAAGTAAGACCATCTCCAATGTATTCCACTATTTTCTCCTTTATTATAGTGTTCCCTTATAATAATGTGATGTTTCTCTCCAATGTATTTCCTTATTTTTAACACTAAAAAGAAAATATTATAAGTATATTCCTAATCCAAATTTATTTTAAAAACCTTTTATTTATAAGTTTTACAAATTAGCCCCACTTATTTTATTCTTCACTAAAAAAACTCTATAAATTAGTATATTATTTAAATAAAACTGTTATATAAAGAAATTACATTACTTTATTAAAATACAAAAAACTTTCAATAATTTCTCATTTATATAATTTTCTAAAGTTTTCTATTATTTACTTTGTAATGAATAAAATAGAATTATAATCCAATTGTATAATATAAATCATGCCATCTTCTAAAATAACTGTTTTATGATTAATTCTAGTAAAAAATCAAAATAAATATAATTTTTATGATTTATTTAAGTTAAAAGTAAAAAAAGAAAAATTAAAGGATCAATATGCAAATAAAAAAGATCAACATCAAAATGAGGAAGAAATAAGGTTACACTATAAATGAGGGAAAAAATAGTGTTCCCTCATTTTAGTGTCAAAAATAAGGGTGGGTTGGAAAATGAGTTTCACACTATAATAGTTTTAAGGGGAGATTTGATGGTGGGTTGGAGATGCTCTAAAGGAACTTTCTTGCCCTACTAGAAGCTAAATTTAGTAATTATATAAAGAGTCTATAAAGCAATAGTTTTATGGACTGAAATAAATTTGTAATTTATATAAAGTTAATATGTAGTATAATGAATACATATTTCGAAAGAGTTAATAGGTATAAATATTATTATATTTGGTGATATCCTTTTTAAGCGAAAAAATATTATGTTCTCTTACCTCCAGAATGTTGAATGTTCGAGCCAAGTTGATTTCTTTTCTTTTTCAGCTTTTGCCATTCAAAATTGTTTTTCAGTAACTGTTTATTATTGTCTGTTTGTTCGTCACAAAACTTGTCTGTTTATTATTATTTTTCCTGTTTAATTTTTTATTACAAGACTTCATCTTTGTTTATGTGAAACACCTTTTGTCAACTTTGCAAAACTTTTACATAATCCTTTTTTTTAAACATGCAGCTTAACATCTATAAATATTAGATAATGTCATCTAGTCACCTTATAGAGTTTATAATAGTTTATACCATTTATAATTTTATATCCGTGACCGTACGCGTTATACGACTTGTGAAAAGGCAAGAACCGTACAATTCCGTATTACGTACGTGAGCAAGAATGTTGCAATTTCACCAAATCCCAAACATTAAACAATAATTATCACCGCCTACGTGCTACTCTCGTTCCATATTAAATGAAATATATCAAACGTCAGAAAAATTATGGCATGGGAATAGCCCGTCAAATTTCCCTTTAAAAGCGTATAAGTCGTAACAAGCCAAAATAGAACCTACAAGAATACAAAAAGGAAACCTAAAAGAAAGAGAAGTTTCTAAAACAGTTATAATGTCGGCTTCGGCTACAACACTCATGAAGCTCTTCTTCTTTGCCCTAATTCTTGTCAGCTTCACCATATTTCCGGTGATGTCAACAGCGCAAGAAGAATGTGAAGCTGAGTCAACAAATCCATGCGTCAACAAGGCTAAGGCCTTACCTCTAAAAATAATATCCATTGTAGCCATCCTCCTTACTAGCATGATAGGCGTCTCGGCTCCTCTCTTCAGTCGTTATGTTCCTTTCCTCCATCCTGACGGAAACATTTTCACAATCGTTAAGGCTTTTGCGTCCGGGATCATCCTGGGAACAAGTTTTATGCACGTTTTACCAGATTCTTTCGAGATGTTATCATCGGAATGTCTAGAGGACGATCCATGGCACAAGTTCCCATTCACCGGATTTGTTGCTATGATATCGGGCCTTGTCACACTAGCAATTGACTCCATGGCTACTAGCTTCTACAGCAAGAACGGCAGTGAGATCGTGCCCGCCGCTAGTAACGGTGATCAGGAGAGAGCAAATCCGATGATAACTCATGGTCATAGTCATGGTCACGGTGTTACATTAAATACAAAAGATGATGGTGGCTCACAGTTATTGCGGTATCGTGTCATTGCTATGGTTAGTACACCACATAAACCCATTTCTAAATTATACGCTTATAACATATAAGTATAATTTACCAATTCATATATGCTTATAAACTCATATAGGTTTTGGAGCTTGGAATTATAGTTCATTCCGTGGTCATTGGACTATCTCTAGGTGCAACAAATGACACATGCACCATTAAAGGTCTAATTGCAGCTCTTTGTTTTCATCAAATGTTTGAAGGCATGGGTCTTGGCGGCTGCATCCTCCAGGTATACTCGAAGCTACATCTTTATTGAGGTGTTTTGATATAAAGCCAAAACAAAGAAACATAAAAAAAAATATAACGAAATGATATAAAGGTCCTTTTGAAATTATATGTTAAGTTTTAATGTCTTTGCTGACAAAATATTGTAAATTGTGAATATATAGGCGGAATATACGAATGTGAAAAAGTTTGTAATGGCCTTCTTTTTCGCGGTTACAACACCATTTGGGATCGTATTAGGGATTGCATTATCGAGTATTTACAGAGATAACAGCCCGACCGCCTTGATCACTGTTGGACTACTCAATGCCTGCTCGGCAGGACTGCTCATCTACATGGCCCTCGTCGACCTGCTAGCGGCCGAGTTCATGGGACCAAAGCTCCAAGGCAGCATCAAGCTTCAGATCAAGTGTTTCTTTGCCGCCTTACTCGGCTGCGGTGGAATGTCAATTCTCGCCAAGTGGGCGTAGAAACTATCAACAATCTTGGTATTCGGAGTCTAAAAGAGTTTGTTTAAGTTTGGTTAAGTTCGATTTTAGAGAATGTTGTTTGATCTCAGTGTGTTGCATGAAGTGTTTTTTGTCTTCTGTCTATCATAGACTCATATTTATTGCTTCATGTTGTGTGATGAATAATTGTGTAATGGAGTTTCAGGAAATGAAATTTCAGTATTTAATTTAAACGCAGCAAAACAAGCGGTATACTTGGAAACTGGATTCATCAGACTTTTGACCAACAAAAAACTTTTTTTTTTTTTTTTTTTTTTTTTTTACTTTTCCTTCAGTAATTTAATTATTGTTTTTTGCCGATTTCTTCACAAATCTATATAGCGGCAGATGTCAGGAAAAAAATTTAATCATTTTATGTAGTTTTTTTAGACCTTATGCACATTTACACACAGTACACATTCGTTCAGCACAAGCTCCTCACGTATGGCTTTCTCCTCCTAAAGGGAAACTCGGTTATATAGCCTATTTTTAAGAAACATTACGTGAAATAAGCTGTTAATAAACATTATATACTTATCGTGGAAAATAACATCTCATCTTTTAAAAGGGTTACATGTTCTTATTTGATATTTTTCTTAAGCTTTTATTTGTTTTTCTCGATGGATATGACATTTCTCTTTTTCTAAACATGACTTAGCATAAGAGAAATTGGCAAAATATATATAACACTTTCAAAATGTCCAGGGCTTAGCTGATCTGCATTTAGTGAACATGCATGCCAAATCATGTCAGTGCGATAACTTGTTTATAACCTATATTATAACGAACTTTTTCTCATCATCTTGTTTTTGGGTTCTTCGATCAATCATATGGTCTTATTATATTCTGAACACTGTAGAATTGTCGGGATGACTATCTATTATCATCTCAAAATTGTTCTGATTGTCTATTTATTGTTTTAGATAGAAGTTGCTCCTTAAACGGGCATCTCCGACTAGAATGCATGTGGTGCACCACTTTATAAGTCATTCTGTGAGCCAGCTGCCAGCGACCAGCGCACCACTCCGGCATGTGGAAAAACATGTATCTTAACACCTAACGATAGTGTAAGTTAAATATGATGGTGAATCAATTGAGATAGGCTAATTATTGTTGGCAAAAATAAATTGCCCAATTAAGAGGGGAAATTTCAAAACTACACCTCTTGATATGCCAATTTTCAAAAATACACCTCTATGGTGCTAATTTTCAAAACTACACTTTTTTCATTTAGTAAAAGAACTCTAAACCCTAAAATATAAATCCAAAACCCTAAAATCTAACATTGAACCCTTAAATTTAAACCCTAAACCCCAAAATATAAACCCTAATATAGGATTAGTGAACCCAAACATATATATTAAAATTGGGGAAAGGTGTATTTTTGAAAATTTTCATACTATAGGTATAGTTTTGAAAATTTGCACCTCAAGAAGTGTATTTCATAAAATTTATCAATTAAGAGCTCGGTCCCTTTATACAAAGAGCCCATTGGCTACTACGAAGGCACACAATGCTTTGTACTACTGCACTCCGGATATAAGTCCAAAAATTGAATAATAATAACGACTAATAATTTACCAATAATGTCAATTTTATTTGTTGAGGATTGCACGATATATGCAGATTTATTGCAAAATATATAGATTTGTGAAGTACTAAAAAACCAAAAAAAAAAGGATTGCTTAAGTCTACAAAGTATACAGATCATTTTAATTTCCTACTTTGTATTTTACAAATATAATATGATTTGATTTTTCTAGCAATATATAATTTTCTATTCAGTTGGAATATACTATATACAAATCACTTTAAGTTATTAAAGGTAAAATAAGGTGATGAATGACAAACCATTTTTCCCGCTACATCATTTTGCAATTTTGTACTATTATTATTTTTTATTTATGATATTTAACTAGTTAAATTCTCCCTTATGTTTAGTTATAACTGAAAATATTATTGATATCATAATTTTATATTGTTAACATTTTATGAAATTTGCTCCCAAAAAGTAATTAATAAAAAGATTTAATAATATATGTCTTTATAAAAGCAAATGATTGTTTATGTTCTGTTTTATTTATTTTTGTAGTTTATTTTTTTTGTAGTTTCAGTTTGAATTAGTGGTAAATTGTAGTATATTCTTAACGAATATTCATATTGAATATGAGAAATATATAATAAGTATTTGTAATTTGATCAATAGATTGGATCAATTAGAGAATATGGTTTAGTCAAGATGTGAAAGCATGTGAATAATCTAACCAACTATCGAAATTTCATCACTAAAAAGTTGTTGGACGCATTATTCAATTAAGGGGGAAATATAAATATTGGATAGGGACATTGTAACGTTCCTTGGACGCAATCATCGTAAATCGTGAATTCACACATCGTATTCATCGTTCTGCGTTCTGATATGCACTTAAATGTTAGATATGCTGAATACATTTATTTTATTGTTGAATATGGTTGTATATATAAATGGGATCTTTTTTTGTCTATATGCACTGCACAAGATACGAACCCAAATTTTAAAGTTTGTTACACGACAAATAATAATGACTTTGAATTGCAAATGTCGTTGAAGCTATCAAATTCAGACTATTGCTTTTTACGACGTTTTCCTTTCTCCTTTTTTATAGTTGGGATAGCGAAATTTGATTCGTCTTATTTTAAATTAACATTTTTGTAATGTTAAACGTCACTGCACAATTTCATTATAAGTGATTGCGACATCTATACATAAACATTAGAAACCAGCATTTTCTGATGCTAAATGTTCACTATCAGTAAGCAGCACTGAAATTCGAGTTTTGAAATCACAAAGAAACGAATATTGTGGAGTTTATATAGGATCTCGATAGTGAAAGTAGGTAAAGCGGATCAAATATACAGTATATCAGATGGTTCGTGCAAAGAAATTATACCAAACCTAAAGTTATATATGATCAAGAAAGGGTTTCACAAAATAAATATATTTTAGAAGTTAAAATGGAGAATTATTTTGATAACCAATTATGGATACCTGAAAGAAAATCTTAGATAAATAATTAAATTATTCAGCAAATTATTTTAGAACAATTTTGATTTTTGATTTTTGTTATATGTTATTGCTTGGCCTGAGAAGAAGTAAAGGGCCAAGGACCACCTCACATGTTTTGAAGAGATTTCTTCAAAATTTCTTTTCCCCATTCAATTATTCTGTCGTCTTTTGCAACTTCCATTTTTGGCTTCCACTGAAGTTTCCAGGAAAATAACCAAAAGGTATATATCATCAATACTAGTATTAGTTACAATAATGATGACGATAATAATGTCAACAAATTAACTATATGTCTCACAAAGATTAGACGTACTTTCAATTTTTCTGATCAAACCGATATACACGACTTGATTTTCAAAGTACTATCCCTACTACTTTATCTAAGAATTGTTGGGGTTTTTAACGCCTTAAACATGCAGCACAACAACAACAAAATGTGTCACACTTAAAAAACTGAAAACAAAAGATTGACGTTGCTAATCTACTATATTAAATTTATTACAATGAAATCACTATTTTGATAACCTCATGTGTTTCGTATTGGACGCACCAATTACCACTAGTCCATTATAAGCATATAACAATCTTATTGGTTTTGATTGGTAATCGCCATTTATGTTGTGTAAATGTGTAATCATGCGGTTTCTTAAGCTGTTTATTCAAACTGTTTCTTCACATTAAGGAAGAATCATATATATATTACTAATCGTTTGATATGATTCCTCCTCATTTCCATTCTAAGATAGAGAAATCTTAGTTTTCACGAGTATACATGACTGAGAATTGCAAAAATGGGAGATATTGACTCCAAACCGAAACCGAAATATATAGTACTCCCTCTGTTCCAATTTATAAACTGTTTTAGCAAAAAGTGAAAAATTAAGGTAAATATTTTTCTTTAGTAAAATATTATTTTTTATATTAATTAAATAAAATCTAACCAATTAACAAAAAAAAACTGTAAAAGATAATTGGACACACAACATCCCACACAACATCCCATAAAGTGTAAAATGCATTGATAAAAGTAAAATGCTTATATTATGGGATAAATTTTTTGTCTTAAACAGCTTATATTATAGGACAGAGGGAGTATTTCTCTATACAATTATGTTGAATTGCTAGTAACTATGTGGTGTTTCCGAAATTTTAATGGTCAAACTACTAGGTTTATAGATTACACAAAATTTCTAGATTAAAAACATCAAATATATGTCTATATATTTCCGTACGGATGAAGGAAAACAAAACTGTAATCACCAAAATTAAGGAGTATACAAAAGTACAAACAAGTAAATCAATTCCGTAATACAGTAGTTCCCAAAAATTTAAGAGCTATATTTCTTGTTTTTCTCCAATTTTGGTCTTTAAAATCCTTACTTAAAATGTAAGGTGAAAACTAGAAATTTAAATTAAAAAAGAACGAAAAAATCATAATTTAAAAAAATAGTTAAAGGTCACGACAAGTTAACATGTACACTAGCATTCATGACCGTATCACACACAGGGCACGCCTGTAACAGAGCCGATCCACAAACCGTACACAGACACAAATGACGGCAAGGCAACACCAATACACTCGCCGTTCTCTCACCGCACCGTCTACATCCTCCGCTCACCGCCGTAACATCATCTCCGTCGGCTCCGTCGCAACTTCCGCAGCTCGATTCCGCGTCGTCTTCTACCACCGGAGGACGAATAGCGTTGGCGGTTTCCGGAAAATCGTCAACCTGAGCGAGAACTTGTTCTAGATTTGATCGGAGATTGTTAGCTGTGGCTTCATTGGTTTGTGCGAGATCACGCCAGATCTGATTCTCGACGTAGAGATTCTTCACACGCTCTTGTAAAACCCAATTTAGCTTCCCCATTCGTACGATCTCGTCGTCTTTCGCTTTCAGCTTTTTGATAATCGCCGATTGAACCGCCGACGCGAACATCCGCGTTTGCATTCGCTGCCGCGCTTCTAACTCTATTCTGAGCGTTTCCGTTTGGAGAGCAACGAATCGATCGATTTCCGATTGCTGTTGTTGGATCTGAGAGACGAGTTCTGCGTCGATTAGAGACGTCTCAAACGCGACTGATCTCCGTTTCTGAGCTGCCATGAGAGCGTCGGAGTCAAACGTAGAATCTCGCTGGCGTTTTGAAATCGCCGGAGGAGCCGGAGATTGGTTGAAATTGTATGTGAGATCGCTTTCTGCTTTGTTGAAGCTTGCTGCGATATGAATCGGATCTATCGCGCGAGACTGTATATACGGTAACTGACGATCACCGGTTGTTACCGGAAAACCGCCGGCGAATTCAATCTGGCCGTCGTTATACATATTCTGTTGTGATTTAACACATTCTCTGTAAATAAACAGAGGAAACAAAATCAATAAACTATACAAAATGATTACAGGAGATTGGAGAAGATATCGAGAGCAATCGTATGGAGAAATCTACCTGTTGTTAACGAACTGAGAAGCGAATGGATTCATTTGTCTTGCTTCAACAGCCATTCATTCGTTTTCTTAAGGTTAGAGAGAGTTCACAGAGAGAGGAAGAGGAAGGAGAGAGAGGAAGTTGTGGCGACTGGTGAAGAAATCCATGAAGGGTGGCTTTTATTTAAAGGAAGAGAGAGAAAAAGTCAAAATATTAAAATAAGAGATTTGTTGATTGCATAAGTTTGCTTTTCTAGAAAGAGAATAAATTATCCTTTTCCAAATTTACATTTAAAATTATTTAGTTTCCTTTAATTTTTAATGGTATAATCCCAAATATCTTAACAAACACCAGCACATGTGACCGTATGTAGCTTTTTTGATTGACTTGACTTGCAGTGATAATCGTATTCAATATTTTAATTCCTAAAATTTGTATCTGTTATTTATGTTCAAACAAAGAAAGTGTTAAGCTATTTTCCATGATATCTGTTTCTTTTTGTCACATTTCCATGAAATCTGTTATATTCCGGTGTGAAGTATTTTGCATAAATCCTATTTTATAGCAAAAGGAAATAAAATCTACCTAAATTTAAAATTTTCTTATTGTTTTGCTTTGACTACACGAAAATTAGGAATCATTTGCTAAAACAGTTAAAAGATCATTTCCAATACTTTTTCAGTATTCTTTTGACTACACAAAAAATAAGAATGATTTACTAAACAAATTTTCTATACTATGATGTGATTGGTCAGTGTCCGTCAATTGTTACGAATCTTGCATGGCATTTCGGTAAATATCTTTCTTACCTCTCAATGCATTCGTACTTTCTTAGAACGTAGCATTTGCTACACGTGTAATTTCCTCTCCACGCTTGCCACGTCATGAAGATATTCCACCGTGTACTTCTTACCAGTATTTTTTTCTTTTCATAAGTAGCTTATTTTTTAAAAGATAAATGTATTTTATACTTTAAAATTTAACGAATGTTCGATCCCGATAAACCAAATTTTTTTCGAATGGAATTGAAAAAATATGTTCGAAAAGAATGGAGGATCGATATGAATAATAACGGTCGTATTATTCAATATCTCAAAAGAAAAAAAAAATCGAATCAAAATAATGAAGAAAAAGTAAATATTTTTGGTTAAAATTTTAACTCGATCGTAAACTAAATCCGTGTGAGCGTGTCTATTCGATTCATCATTATAATTCCACTCTTTATATTATTATTAACTGAAAAGTATATTCTAGTGTTTGAATACAAAAATAAAAGAAATATTTATTTGGATAGAAGAATAAATTGAAACAAAATTGTTTGAATATAAAAATAAGAGAAAAATCTATTTGAATAGAATAATAAATGAAAAAAATTGTTTGGATACAAGAATAATAACTTAAAACAAACCGATGGTTTAGAAAACTTCCGTATTCCAGTTCTTAAAAAATTTGCAAAAGAAAAAAATTAAACATAATCTATCGATAGAGCTAATGTATTCTCTTTTTCTCATTCACAAACTCATCAAAGCAATTCAGCAAATCTCTTTGATTCTTTTTCTCTAATTTTAAAATCATGTCTTTGAAAGTTCAAGAGAACAATGGAGATTATTTGACTCTAGATAAATTGGATCGAAATCGAAATAATCGCCGTACTATTCTCATAGGAGTTGAGCTTCTATTACTTGATGAAAAGATTAGTATAACATCTTATTATATTCTTATTATAATATTGATTAATATTAAAGTTTTACTTTTGTTTGAAATAAACACATTTCAAGTTTTTGTGCATCATTCACTACTTCAAATTTTTTGAGATCAGATGGCCGAAGGAAATATCATCGAAATTTGTAATTTTAATCTGCAGTCTGCTTATAAAAACACTTCTATTACTTGATGAAAATGTTGGTAACATATTATATTGATATATACCTTATTAATAAAAGGAGGAAAAATAACTCTCATTAAGAAAAGAAAAAAAACAAAAAAACAAAATAATTAGAAAACAACTAACTAATAATGAAAGAAATTTTATAATGGCCTGAGTCAAAAACAAAACTGAAAAAAAATATAAATAGAAAACTAATAAAATAATTATCGAGCAACTAACTAATATTAAAAGGAAAAATTATAATGAACTGATATTCTAATTTTAATAGTTTAATTTTTTTGTTAGGTAAAAAAATATTAAAAAAAAAATCATCAACCAAAATCTCTTCAATGGAATAATAAAATTTTCACGAATTAATCAATCAATCAAACTTACACATGTGTAAGTCTTTCAATTTTAGATAAAAGTAAAAAGATAACAAATTAATTCATTTTTCGTATCATGAATTCAGAAAATATGTCAATTATAATAAAAATGTAAAAAGATTACCAATCTAATATTATTTAGAGGTCTTTTATCGGGTTTTAATATTAATCTACTTACTTTTAAAGTGTCAAATTTATTTAATATTTTTCTATGATTTATTTCAAAAATTGTATAATAAACCCGCGTATACGCGGGGCTTAATCTAGTATCATATAAAATTAAAATGTCATTGAAAATAATAATTGATTAGAACGCCACTCAAAGTATCTCACACTTTTTAATTTTCTATTTCACTAGATAGTATTAGATGGTTAATGTTTAAAAAAAAAAATCTTAAATTATATCTCAACAAGTGTAGAAGTAGGATTTATACTTCCTAAATTTCTCTTTTTATTTACATATATAACACATTGAAAGCTTATGTATAAATCGTAGGAGATAAATTCTATTGTTTCTAAATACTTGTAGTAGTGAAAACCTATTGAGTAGTTAAGTAAATAGATACACGTGTGACACGTCTGGGGGCCATGATGGGAAAAAAACAACAGAAACCACGTTTTGGTGGAACCCATAAAAAAAACCTCTATGTTTCATTTCACTATTTTAGTGAAACTAAAAAAAAGGTTTAGTTTTTTCCATGCTTTGCTGGGAAAAGATTTGTCGTCTCGTCGCTTTTCTTTTTCCTTTTTAAAATAAAAAAAACAAAAACCAAAGTAATCTTTAAAAAAAAAAATTTGCAAGTTATCCGATAATGTTTTAACACTGTACGGACAATAAATGATTTATTTAATTTGTTAGATGTGGGATAAATAGGTGGACCACGAGAAAAAGGTCTATTTTTATGTCTGTGGACTCATTCATGCGTGTCTCTGTTATTTAATGTCTTTTAGTCATTGTTGGATGTACATATTGCCGAATCTACGTACATCAAACTCTCTCTCTCTCTCTCTCTCTCTCTCTGTCTCTAGATGTCATGTATATAGACCGAATACGTATAGATATGTGTCACCAAGAAGCCAAGAACAAATAAATATATACTATTGTTTTTTTTTTTAAATTGAAAAATCTTTGAGCCGTCGGTGTGGAATTTATCTCCTTTTGGAGATTTATCGATATTAATTAATATATCGATTCATACAGTATGGGATACCTGGAAAAACTTCAAATTATAGAAATACACCTTTTGTAGATTTTAGAATTCAAGATTTAGGTTTTAGGGTTAATGTTTTATGATTTGGAGTTTAAACTTTTGTTTTTTACGTTAGAACATCATTTCTTGATTATTATTATTTTTTGGATAAGAGTTTAGGGTTAGAATTTAGGGCTTAGTTACAAACTATTTTTTGTTGTTATTTAAAATTTTATACTTTTTTTCAAATGTTTGATTAAAATTTAATAACATTTCTAGCTAGTTGATCACTAAAAATATTTTCTAGCTTAAGAAACCTCAAACCCCAACGTATAGTTGCTCCATGTCTGAGATCAAATTAACACAATCGTTAGTTCTACTTCTACAAGATATATGTTAAATTTCTCCAAATTTAAGTTCGTGTTCAAATTTAGACTCACAAATATCAAAACCATAACTCTAACGACTTAAATTAAGTCCACTGAGAATAAAATAAATGGAGTACAGTATTAATTTAAACGTGATAACATGTCAAGTGATGGGAGAAGAGAAGATAAAGATTGGAAGTTGAAGAATTGTAATGAAGTTATGGGTGAGAATACAACGAAAAGAGAAAGTGGGTAGGAGTGCCATATACTTGGCATGGACATTTACTTACTAAGGTAATCAATAAAATAAAAACTAAATTCATTAATTAATGCTATTATTCACATTTGGTTTTTTTTTTTTGTTAAAGTATTAGTCACATTTGGTTGTGATGAAGATTTTTTATTTTATTTTGAAAATATACATGATTTTTCTTCTCCACTTCATCAACATATCATGAAAATCTTGAAATTCATACAGATCAATTTGATCTGTCTATAACATATACGAGTTCAAGAATGCTTTTTTGTGTGTCAATTCTACATATATATTCGTAATACCAAATCTTCGAAACAACAAAAATCTATTAAACCTATAGAGATTTTAATGCATTTTTTGTACTATAATTGAAGATATAAATAATTATAGAACCCATAATCCAAGACCGGTAGTATTTTATATAGTTTAATCCTCTGTCAATCGCCGAGCTAATGGCACGTCCACTAGATTTATGAGCGCAGTTTCGTCTAGCTCTTTACAAGTCTGTAATATGTAGATTTATTTAAATACTGATTAATTAGATTTTAGACAAGAACAAGACAAGACTTCTAGGGCCGTGGCCAAGCTCATCCTTGGTATTTGCGGGAATTCGCCCACAAAATAATAAATACTCCGTATGACCACAGTTATTATGAAATGTCTTTAACAATATTCTAATTTCAATATTTTATACTGTTAGGGTCCTTCACATCGTGGATGAGTTGTTCATCACATTTCTCAATCAATTTCATTGTCTTTTTCAATAATAAATGTTTTTTTTGTGTGTAAATTTGCATAAATTTATTCACGAGACACTTTCGCGCCCATTAAACACATGTATATGTTTAGGTACCATTTTTCCTGTCATTTTTCACTATTAAATGTTTTTGGATTTTACAAAACTTTCATATACTCCTATAATATGTGTATATATACAGAAAAGACAGAGAGTGATGGAACCAAATCTGAAATTGTTGAAATAATCAAATTGGTCCCCATCACCACCCACT